TACTATCTAAGTCGTGGTGCTTATACCGTGGCTAACTGACGATTGATGGTCCCTGCAGAATAAACTCTGGTTTCCTGTATAATGGTTAGAGGCAGTTTCCCTAAGCTCACTGCAGCACAGATAGTGGAGGTGCTTAAGGACGACTTCGCTGTCATAGTACCACCAAAGCTCAAGGTAGTAGTAGTAGTAGTAGTAGTAGTAGTAGTAGTAGTAGTAGTAGTGGTAGTAGTAGTGGTAGTAGTAGTAGTAGTAGTGGTAGTAGTAGTAGTAGTAGTAGTAGTAGTAGTAGTAGTAGTAGTAGTAGTAGTAGTGGTAGTAGTAGTAGTAGTAGTGGTAGTAGTAGTAGTAGTAGTAGTAGTAGTAGTAGTAGTAGTAGTAGTAGTAGTAGTAGTAGTAGTAGTAGTAGTGGTAGTAGTAGTAGTAGTAGTAGTAGTAGTAGTAGTAGTAGTAGTAGTAGTAGTAGAGTCTGGCTTAGCCTATATACAGCTGTTACCTTAGGCATGCATCCTAGCCCTACAACCAGAGGACCTTAGTGCATGTCCTGCGGAGATCCTACGCATTACCTATGATGCCCTTCTCGTGGGTGCATTAGATCTCACGGAAGATGAACTCAAGTAGAAGAGGAGCGTTAGACCTCACGTGCCGATGCTTCTCTCTCAGTGTACCAGCCGAGTTCTTGGGGCAGAGGGCGGCTCATGAGAGTACCACCCCTATTATGCTGATGTCCCGTCAAGTGAAATGGACTTATACGTACCTCCTTAGGGCTTCAGAACATGTAGGAAACATTCTGACAAAGGGTCGCAGTTGAGCCCTTCAGATTCGCTCTGTGTGCCCTCCGGTCGCCATATGTTCTGTGGTGTCCCCTTATGAGGACACCAAGCGTACGAGGATGCTCGTATCGGCATTGATCAACTACATAAGGCGGGTTAACCCTTTCCTGGCTGGTCATGGGAACTTGTGAAATTCAACAGGTACAAGTACATAGTTTTGGCCCAGCCCAAGATCAGTAGTACAGAGCAGATGAGAGCTGATGAGGAGGATGCGTTGGTAGAAGTCCAGGAGAAGGTCGAGCATAGCAAACGTGCTCTACAGGATGTATGCGAGAAGCGAGGCGGTTGTGGGTGTATGCTGTAGGGTAGGTCAAGGCCACACGCGAGAGGCTGAAGCCGAGCTTGACGAAGGCCAAGCATGATCGACATGTGCTTGATGAGGAACTATGTGAGCCAGCGTCGAGTAGATGTTCGATTTTGGTAACTGAACTCAGGAGTTCCCTTACTCATTTTAGGAGTGTATATACGAATTCGGGTAGATGTGTACAGAAACCAACAAGACTTAGAAATTTTCTCAGAATTTCAATATTGTCGCCCACCTGTAGCTAACCATGTGCATATTCTCCCACACTGATATGAGTTCCGATACTCTGGGGAGGTTGGTCTTGAGGGGTTCAGGTGCGCTCGGAAAGGCTAAGGAGGCTCTTGTTACGTCCATTGAAGAGCACGGGAGAGTGAAGGAAGAGCTGACTGTGGGGTCTAGTGAGAGAAGGCAGATTATTGAGGAGAAGAAGGAGGAGTTGCAGCATGTACGGCTAGGACCCTAGTAGAAATCTAAGCTGGGGTTTGCCGCTAGGTGGCAGACTTAGTGGTAGAGAATCCAGAGAGGGTTGTGGAGAAGCATAAGAAGTCCGAAGAAAGGGAGGCCGCGCTACGAAGGACGTTGGACGAGAAGCAGGCGTAGGTTGTGGTTGGGCGTGGTCGTCGTCGTCGTCACTGCTTGGTTACAGGAAGCTGTCCATGGCTAGAGAGAAGACGAGTGATTGGAGGGAGACCAATGGGAGGTTTGAGGGATTGATGAAGAAGGCTCGAGGAATCAAGGCAGATAAGGAGAAAATGGAGAAGGTAGGATGGGAGGAGGTCGCGGGTTCGATTCCCGGCTGGCGCATTTTTCTCCCTGGTCTTGATGATGCTCAACAGACCTTGCAAACGCTGGAGGACAGGAAGGCAAACGACGCGGATATATCGGCTGTGATGAGGGAGGCCGGAAAGCTGAAAGAGGAGGCGGCTCACAGAAGTGAGGGGACGGATCAGATTTAGGGACAGTGTGGGACAATGTGCACATGGTCAACTACATGTGTG